CTGTAAAGCAGTAGAAATAATTTGGAAACAGGTCCACCATAGAGAAATTACTCCAGGCTGACATATCTTCAATCTCTGTCTTAAAAAGTTCAAAATTGTGTTTTTTGACCATTCTGTCTCCAGGGCCAGCAGTTACTGGAACAGCAGTAACTGCCCAGTTCCAGATTCTGGTATGCTGTGAGTCAGGTAGGCTTTTCCACCTGCCAGACTGATGTAACCTAACCGCGCTGGATGCAGCCTCCCCTAGGATGTGTAGATCCAGTGGAGTCAGGTCCAGTAGGACTTCAAGGGCTGCTGTGGGTGTAGTTCTAATTGCACCTGTGATGCTCAGGCAGGCCACACGTTGCACATGGGTGAGCATCACTCTTGCCACCCCAACCTGAACCCGAACCCACCACACTAAAGCTGCATAGCATAGAATGGGGCAGACTATAGTCGTATAGATCCATCTGATAACCTTTGGGGTAGCACCCCAACGACTACCGGCAATTCTACGACACTGATGTAGGCACATTACTGCCTTCTTACACTTTTCATTTATGTGTCTTTTCCAGTTAAGCTTCCTGTCCAGATAGACACCCAAGAACTTAACTGATTCTGACAAGGAGAGAATAACCCCCTCCAATTTTGGAGCTGAGTACTCCTTCCTTGACTTCTTTTGAGTAAAAAGAACCAATTCTGTCTTGTTTGGATTGACAGATAGTTCCTGCTCCTGGCACCATCTGGATACAATGTTTAGTCCCCTCTGCATTAGGTTACATACAGTACCCAGACAGAAGCCTTCTATAGGTGTGACCAAGTCATCTGCATATCCTTGTGTGTGAAGTCTAGATCTATTCAACTCACTTAGTAGGCTGTCAACAACCAGGAGCCAACACAGGGGCGAGATTACTCCTCCCTGTGGACAGCCCCTTCTGAGGTTAACGGTTATCGAGCAGTCCCCCAGAGTTGAAGATGCTTTCCTTGTCTGAAGCATGAAAACGAGCCACTTTGTGGTTGTTTCTTCCACACCTTTGTTGGCAAGTGCTCTCTCAATAGCTTCTACAGGAACATTGTCAAATGCCCCCTGTATGTCCAAAAAGCAGCCTAGTGCATATTTTCCACGTGCCAGGCTGCGTTCTATTCTCAAAACAACATCATGCAAGGCTGTTTCTGTWGAAAGACCTGCATGGTATATATGTTGTTTAGGACTTAAAGGTGATAGCATTAAACTGCCATCTCTTATGTGTCTATCTATCAACCTCTCCATTCCCTTCAGCAAGAAAGATGTTAAGCTGATGGGGCGGAAAGATTTTGCTTCTCTATATGTTGCTTTGCCAGTTTTGGGCAGAAAGACAACTTTTGCCGTCCTCCACCCAACTGGTACATAACCGTTTGCTAAACAAGCAACATATATTCTAGTGATTGTGTCCAGAAGTACATCCAGTCCTCTTTGAAGAAGCGCTGGGAAAATACCATCTGGTCCACAAGCTTTAAATGGATCAAACATAYTAATTGCCCATTTTACTTTGACTTTTGTGATGATACTTGCAGCTCTGTTCCAGTCTTCCTCTGTTGGATTTAGATCGATGACTGTGACAGGCTGTGCAGTCTCTTCTGCCCCAGGAAAATGTACCTGGAGAAGATGCTGGAGCACACTTTCTTGTGTGACTGGCAATCCTTCTGGTGGAATAATGAAAGATAGTTGATTGACTGGATTTTTTCTTAGAAGCTTGTACAGATCAAGAAGAGGCACTAGGCCCTTTAACTTCTTCTTGGCGGCACGACGGCTCAGTGGTTAGC